AGCAAATTTTCTTTTTTCGATAAAAAAATAATTTTTATTTTTTTTAATTACCCAACTGCAACCGCAAACGCTCGAAGGAAGCAGCTTTTGAATTTGAGAGTTTTGGAGCGATATGGAACGATATAAAACGTTTTTCATGATTGTTGTCAAACGCTAACAACTGTTACCACCCGCAAATACTGTGTTTGTGGATGGTAGCGAGTGAATCAATCAAGCCCTTAGTTAATGATTTTTAGCCTTGTCCACATCTTATTACAAGCTAAGCCGGTCCGTTCCCGGTATTCCACCAACTCACCATCTAAAAGACACAATATTACCCACTAACCCAATATTATGTTGATATCAAACTTTTACACTTGATTTGATGCGAAAGAAAAAATTCTAGATTTGCATTTGATTTGGTGACGAAAAAGAAATCCGATTGGTGAAGAAGCAAAGCTAAGTAGGGGATTTATGAACCGCTGCGTAACCTCTCTGCCCGCCCTAAGGCTAAGACTAGTTTTCGATCAATTGTCTCCTTATTCTCCTCTCTAACCACTCAACAACCAGAATAAGTGGGCTGGCTAAGTAACAACATGAGTAGCACCATCAATTCCAAGATCCGCATCTTCATCTATGGCAAAGCCATTACATGCGATGAAGATTCCGTCAGTAATGTGATTCAGAGCCATAAAACAACGAAAAATATAATATCAAAAGAAGATGAAGAAGAATCGAAGACATTTGTTGCTGGATGTTGTTTCCTAGTTTGGATTATTCATGGATTTTGGGAATATGATAAATTAACGTGAATCAATATTACAATTTTTTGCAGTTTTTTTTTTTAATTTTCAAAAGTGTGAATCTTATAGCTTGATCAATATATGGTCACCAAACCTAGTAACGATTTTTGTTTTTTCTGCCCATTGTAACGCATTCACGATTATTTTCTTCTTACACGTTAACGATTTTTCATCCATCAATTTTTGTCCACACACATTTTTATCTACGACGTGCCATATATATATTTTTTTCATAACGTATATACGTGTCCATAACTATTTATCCACATAAAAATTGTTTACGCGCGTTTTTTAAAATGAAAAAGGCATTTTGAATATTAATATGCGAAATAAGTAAAAAAAAATGTCACTTTTCCACAAAATATCTCATTTGAAAGAAAATTTTTAAACAATGTGTCATAGTGTAATGCACCCAACAACATAAAATCAGTTTTCTAGCGCTCCTAAGTTATGGATTACGAGGAATGACATTTTATTTTTATTAAGAGTTGGAACCAAAATTGGGTTAGATAATCAAGTTTTAGAAAAAAATAGGGCGAATACTAAAACGAACAAAAAATATATGGTCGAAAAAGAAACACCGAAATAAATATGGGGCGGTAATCATAAATACAAGTCTTTATGTGATTCCAG